AGAGGACAAATATCTGTGGAGTCTAATCTCAATGGCACTATTCTGTGGAGGAAAGCTAAAAAGTAGTACCCTTGGTCAGTACACCAGGTGAACTAGTAGATGAAGTACCTTCATAGATCATTATCAAACCACCTTGCTTTGTGACTATTATCACACAGTCCTTTCAGAGAAACCTGCAGCAGTGTAATAAACACTCCTTGAGTGAGGGAGTGTTTATTGCATTTTGCATTGCTTTAAAAGCAATGCAAAATGCAATAAAGCAAGCAAATGCCGGGGAATTTAGTATTTTGTTATTGAGAGAAGAACGAGAAAGCTTGGTTGTGTCTTATTTTAGAACTGCAAGCATTAAAAATGTCAGAAGTTAAAAATGTATATAGTAGGCTAGGAAATGGAGTTCCTCAATCAGTTTCACAGAGACTAATAATACACATGACCACACTGCATACTCAAACATGGTGAACTTGTTTGCTCTGTCATTCACCCTTTGCACAGTCACAAAATGTGTCAATTGAGCATTAGCACCATTTCAAGATGAATGTATTTATATATTACGCTGTGAAGATAATCGGATTCCTTGGGCAAGCGCCAGAGAAATGCAAATGTACAAGCATGCTAGTTCTGTCATTCAAGCTCAGGGCTTCTTGGTGACGTTGCAGAAAAGCTTTCTGGTTCTGAGAAAACTGGGGTGTTTTTTTTTTTGTTTTTTTTTTCTCTTTTTTTTGGTCTGTTTGTTGTTTTGTTCTGTTTGTTTGTTTGTTTTGGGGGGGAGGGAGTTACCAGCTAGGCTTTTCTCATTAACTGTTGGAACAAACACTGACTGACTCAAAATGCTACAGCTGGTTAGAATAATCCATTTCTTGCAACTCCATGGTATTTAAACTGCAGAGCAAGAAAGATTGCATATTTCTGCTGTCTCTACTGTGGGTACTGCTCATTGTACATAGACTGTACAGTCTGCATTCAGTCAGTGCTATATCAATAAGCTCTTTTTAAAGAGCAATTTCCATGTCGCTGATCACCACTGAACTCTTTTGTTTCATCGTATGGGTGTAACACTCCTGTCAGCAGATTATCCTGTCTTCGTTCCTAGACTCAGCATTAACTTGCGCTAAAGGTCTGACTCTAGTTTTAGTTCCTGTTCTACAGGGCATGAATGTATGTGTCATACAGTGTGTGCTATACCAAATGAATGAACTAAAAGGGAATTATAAGTAATGACTGCAACTTCTGTTCCCAAAAAAGAGGAACAAAGTACAACACCACTGTTGGTCTGTTTCTTAATGGCAAAGCGGTTTCATCTGCAAAAAGAAGCCATTGTGAAGGCTGGAGCACACTCATCATCACAGGTTCTTAAATTCTGGGATAGAAGTGTCAATTGATTCCTTGATACCTCATACAATGTGCACCCTACTTCACGGAGCACAAGTTATAGCTATAACCGCTGTAACGTTATTAGTCCACAGCATGTGCTGTTCAAGGCACTGCATTTCTAGTGCGTGGTAATAATTTCTGGTTAGGTCTAGTGCTTTACACTTTGAGAAAACAAAACAAAACAAACCACCATCAGCTGACTGTGTTTGGTCAGTCAGTACAAACAGTGTTTATTTATAAAAAACAAAAACAAAAAAAAAACAGATGAACATCTTCTGTTCCCAACAAACAGAAGTGTGTGTATATAGACCCAGTGTCACACCACAGATGATGGTTTTATGTTATTTAAAGTTGCAGACTTCATCTAAGTTGCTTAAGTCCTGTCTTCTTTTCCCTCAGGCTGGAATGACACTCACATATGATCCCAGTTCAGCTGCTATGCAAAATGGGTAAACTAGATTAACATGTATAATGCGTTGTTGTTGTTGTTGTTGTTGTTGTTGTTTCAATATGTTTACGTCATATAATATAATATTCTCAATACACTTTGACAGATTTTTTCCAGCACCATACAGTATGTCAAACAGGATGATTACTCAAACTTCCATGTCTCCCTACATGTCTCCGCTTTCCACATATCAGGTTTGAATACTTTTTCTATTGATAAATATGCACTTTAAAACATATGTATGTAAAATACATGAACATTGTAATAGAAATATGTGATTTGGTTTCAAAACTATTTGTAAAACATGTGTCTTTGAGATTTGAAATAGGTTTGGGGGGGAGGGGGGTTGGAGATGTAGGTCAAGTATGTGACAAATGCCAGTATAGCCTTTTATGCTTGTTTATGTGCCAATTGCAGTAAGACGTGATTGCTGGAAATAGCATTTGCTCTGAGCCACACTGTTTACAGAGCGTGTTTGTTGATGTTCCAGATGCAGAACCCATCCTGGATGCCTCATCAACCTTACATCATGCAGCACCCAGTAAGAACAGGAGTTCTCCATATTTTGTTCTGCTGTTTCTCTTTTAATCATAATCTGTTAGTCACCAAATATGTCTTTGGTTTAGTGTAAACAGACGGACACATAAAGTAGTAGTTACACACAGATGACACTGATTTTATTTATTTATTTATTTATTTTGAGGACTGAGCAAGGTGTTTGTCTATGGGTGTCTAAATGACTGTTTTGAATAATAATAATAATAATAATAATAATAATAATAATAATAATAATAATAATAATAATAATACATTTTATTTGAGGGCGCCTTTCAGAAACCCAAGGTCACCTTACAAAAAACACAATTAATAAAAGGAACAATAGTCATAAAATACATAAAATAAGTTAAAAATTACAAAACAGAGCGTGACAACAGATAAAATCAGCATTAAAGCGAGTAAGCCAGTTTAAACAGGTGTGTTTTGAGCTGTGTCTTAAATACGGAGAGGGAGTCAATATTTCTTAGTGCAGGAGGAAGAGAG